GGGGGGGGGGGGGTTCTGTTTATCCTCTTCTCTCTTCAAACCATTTCCTTTCGGCTCCGCTCGCTGTTTTCTTCTTCTTTCAAAGAGCAGGACCGCTTCCCCCCTGGCCGCCCCCCCCTCCAGCACCGGGACCCCTGGCACACCTCTGGCATGTGCCCACTTCAGGGCCACCAGCCTGGCACAACCCTGGCCCATCGCCTTCCCCACTGGGTGGGCAGAGGGGCCGTGCAGCCCCCTGCCCCACAGCCGGTGCCATCCCCCTGCACTGTGGCGGCTGGCACGGGGCTGCTGCCGCTCCGTGCCGCCTTCGGGCAGGGTGATGGTGGGGGGTGGGGGGAGATGCACGGCCCTGACACCTGGGTCCCCTTCCCAGCTCCCAAAGGGCGAGGGGCCCCTGTGGGGCGAGGGGCTGGGGGCCATGTTGGCGGCTGGCGCCGCGCTCCCCTTCCTGGGTGACTCATTCTCCCCGGTGTGGCTGTGAAGTCCCTCGACAGCGTTTGCAACTTTTGTGACTGAAAGCAGCGGCACCCGGCAGCAGCCCGGGGCAGGGGCCACGCTCCCCAGGACCCCTGCCCCCCCCTTCCCGTGGGGGACCAGGTCAGGGGGACCCCCCCAGGCACCCCATCGTAATCCACATCTCTCACCATCCCCGAGCTGGGGCCGGTGCCTGGCACAGGCTGGCATCGTGCCCGTGTGCTGGGTGCCATCCCGGCTCGGCGGTGTGGGAACACAGCCAGTCCCCAAGCAGGGTGGGTGCCGGCAGGGCTGGACCCCCACCCCGCTGCGTGTGGCTGTGCTGGGGCGGCGGACCCCCAGGGTGGTTGTGGGGGGGCTGGCAGGTAGTGGGGGCCGGCAGGTAATGGGGGCTGGCGGCGGTTGCGCCAGGCGGAGCGGGCCGGTGGCAGGATGTCAGGGTGACCCGGGCAGGCATTGTTCCTGCTGCCACCCGCCCCGCCATGGGAACTGGCTCAATGTGGGGAGAGACCCCCCCTTTCCCCGGCCCCGTGTGGCTGCCGCAGCCGAAACGGGCCTGGCCGCAGGCATTGACGTAACCGAGAAAGCCCTGGCGCAGCGGGGGTGCGGGCATCTTTGCCAGCCCCCTCCCTGGCCCGTGCCCCCCGTGCCATCATCTCCAGCGCCGGCCAGGGAACGCCGGGGGGCCGGGGGTGGCTCCGACACCCTCACACCTCATGTCCCCCCCCATTTCCTTATCGCCGCTGCGATCTCCTCGATGGCAGCACCCGCTCAGCATGTGACTTCGCTCCAGCGGGGAGGATGCGCGGGGGGGCGGGGGGTGTCGGGGAAGAAGCCGTAACGGGCGGTTTGGTGGATGGAAAATCCCCCTCCTGACACCACCTCGCCCCCGCCCTGCGCCCTCGTCCGCAGGCATCCGGCCCCATGGCCGCTCACCGGGGGTCCCGGCCTCCCTCGCCCGCCTGAGCCGGGCCTCTGCCAGGGAGCCCCGTGGCATCGGCAGCACCAGGGCTGCTCCCGCCTGCAGGTGACACGGTGAGGCCGGTGATGAGGCCGGTGGCCATGCCTGTTCCTTGGAGCACCCTGTCACCCGCTGGGGCCTCAGCTGCTGCACCAGCCCCCAGCCCCCCCTGGCACAGGAGCCCCCACACAGGCACGTGCTGGCCCCGTGCCCGGGTGTCCCATGGGGCCAGGGGTGCCGGCAGGGGTCAGGGGACAGCAGGGTCCGTCCTGCTGCCATCGAGATTTGGCCAGGATAGGCAGTGATGGAGGATCCAGGTGCCACCCCATCCCGGGAACACAGCCCTGGGGGTCCCTCAGCAGGCAGCGTGTCCCCATCATCCCCCCTGCCCGCCCGAGCTGCAGCGCGGGGCGCTCGCCTCCCCTAATCCTGCCCCCGCTGCTAATCCAGCCTAATCCCACTGGGGGCTGTCGCTGCCTGTTGGCTCCCGGGGCCCTGATGGTTTAATCGCCCCTAATCCGCTCGCCCCCGCCCCAGCAGGCAGCGGGGACCCCGGCCGGCGGCGGGATGGGCTCCTGGCAAGGGAACGGGGGTGGGGGGGGGCAGGCGGCCAT